CAGCCTCTAGTACTTACAAGAAAGTTTGTTATTTTGTTGATAATATTTTGCAGTATTTTAGTAACCTGAGAGTTGAGAACGTAGTTCAATTGGTAGAGTACTCGCCTAGCATACATGGGACCCTGGAATCAATCCCTACCAACACATAAACTATTCGGGAGATAGAGACAGGAGGATCAGAAGTTCAGGGCTATCTGGCTACATACTGAGTTTTGAGGCCAGCTTCAGGTATGTGAGACTCCATTTAAATAAAACAAATTTGAAAATAGTTATTAACAAGTTCTGTCAGTCTGTCAGTGGTTAGTCTGTGGTTGGCAGTATTTATTAAGACTCACAACATGTTAATTTCTAATTGAATTTGGACAAATGTGCCATTTTTCTCTGATAACCTAAGCATAGCCTCCACATAGAGAAGACCAAATCAGAATTATCAAGGCCTACCTGATCTGGCTAAGCAGTGGTAACTGTGAAGCTGCACAGCTGAACCATTTCAGCCCTGGTTTGACCACTAAGGAGTCAGACTCTACACTTGGTACTACAGACTTACTTGGATGGATGCCATGCCTCCAACTTCTTTACATCATGAAAGAGCCATGTGAAAAAGAATGGATTTTACCAACAGTACAGCATTGCTGGTCAAAATAAGTACTCACTAATTTACAAAGACCAAGAGGGCTAAGGAGACGGGTCAAGTGGATAAAATGCTTGCCTCACAGATATGAGACTGGAGTCTAGAACCCAGAAAGTGGGCAGATGCGGTTGCTGCCTGTCATCCCAGCCCTCAGAGAGGCAGAGATGGAATCTCTGGGGCAAGCTAGAGATCTCTGGCTAGCTAGACTAGACTAAGCCAAATCCATGAGCTTTGGGTTCAGAGAAAGATATACACACACCATACGCACATACATATAATCCCCCATCCCCAAGAATCCTGCTGTGGTAGCACATGGCTATCTATGATCCCAGCAAGAGGATTGCAAGTGTGAAGCCAGCCTAGGTTTCCTGGACTCTTTGCAATGTAGCCCGACAAAAAGTAACAATGAGAAACACAGGAGAGGGAGACTAGGAAATGGGAGAGGGGGACGCATTAGCACCTTTTATCAGTGGCTAGCATACTTACCTCTGCATTTTGATTGACTTACAAATTTTGTAAAAGTCAGTCTTATTTGGCAACTTTTACATTTTTTTTATTTAGTTATTTATTTTATTTTATTTTTGAGACAGGATCTCCCTGTAGCCCCAACTGGCCTCCATCTCTCAAGAGATTCACCTGCTTCCACCTCCAAAGTACTGAAACTAAAGTCTACACCCACCACACCTGACTACTTTAAAAAATTTTTTTAATTTTTATTTTGTGTTTGAGTGTTTTGCCTGTATGTATGTAAAGTGATCGCTAGGGTGCAATGCCCACAGAGTCCAAAAGAGGGCATCATATCCCCCTGGAACTGGAGTTATGGAAGGTTATTAGCTGCCGAATGGATGCTGGGTACCAAACCCAGGCCCTCTGCAAGACTAGCCAGGGCTCTTAACTGCTAAGCCGTCTCTCCAGCCTTAGACAACTTATTTTAAAGTAAACAAAATTAGAGTGAAACTTTGGCCTCTGATTTGGTTTTATGGGGACATTTAAGGCTAGCATAGCTTATAATGGTTTATTTCTCAAAGCAATTGCTAATAAAATAAGTTGGTTAAGAAAAGACTCATAGGGTTAGAAAGATGGCTCAGCAGTTAAGAGCACTGGCTACTCTTGCAGAGGACCCTGGTTTGTTTCCCAGCACCAGCAGCATGGTGGCTAGCAACCATCCATTAACTCCAGTTCCAGGGGATCCAACATCTTCTGACCTCTGAGGGCATTGCACAACGCAGATGCACTTACACACATGCAGGCAGTACACTTATATACATAAAACAAAAATAATAAATTACAGAACATGAACTAAAACATCATGACAGTTCAATTTAAATTTTATTTATTTTTCTATGCACACTCCCTATATAGCCCATACTGGTCTGGGACTCTGTCTTCCAACTTCAGGATTACAGACTGAGCCACCACACCCTGCTCAAATGATTTTTTTCAATGTCTCTTGCTTATAAATCACAGAGTTAGTTGGTCTAATGCAAAGGGCTAGGGCTAGCAACTCTGGTGCAAGCTAGAACATAAAATATACAAGCAAGGTACTGTGAGAGTGCAGAGATAGAAGGAAAGAAGTGGCACATTCTCAGAATGTTTGGTGTGTTCACATCTGCAATGTTTCCATATATATAATGATCAGAGTTTCTGCTAAGAGAATTGCAACGGAATTAGCATCACTCATTAAGTGAAATAGCCCACCATGGTGGGACCCTGTATTCTAAATGAAATGTCAATGAGTTTGATAAACAATTGGCTGGCTACATTTCATATGCTTGCTTCCTTGATTGTTTGTTTATTTATTTATTTATTTAATTATTATTTATATAGCCAAGGCTGGCTCCTACAGTCAATCTTGCCTCAGTCTCCTTGTGCTGTGATATCTGGTGTTTTTTTTGTTTGATTCTGGGATCAAAGCAAGCCTTTGTGTATTCTAGACAAGCACTCTACCAACTGAGCTACATCTCTGCAATTTTTTTTAATAATTTTTATTTTTACTTTGTGTATGAGTGTATTGCCTACACATGAATAAGTGCACCTGTGTCATGCAATGCCTTTGGAGGTCAGAAGAGGGCATCAGATCACCTGGAACTGGAGTTAA